GACGGATCTCTGGGGACTTTCTTAAGTTAAGGGACTGGTGACCGGCCTTGTCACTTCCCTGAAATTAGTGATAATTTTTCTGCTAGAAATGAAAGAACTCACTTTTCTCTTTATATTAGAGCCTTTTTCGTTACATTCCTCTACTTTTAGGCTCCGTTGGAAGATTGTAAATGCACAACAGAGTGGCCGTATAAATGCTAGGATACTACGAAAGCCGCTAATCTTCCGGTCGTTCCTTTTATAAATAGCGCATTCGCGGACACTAGAGAATGTAGACGGTATTACGCTGTATGGCTTAAAGTAAAAACAGCCACGGCCTTTCCGCAGTAAGAGGGGTCTTCGCAAAGAGCAGGAAGACATTAGAACGCCTAAACAAAGGACTGCCAGTAGGCGCTATTATTGCGCTCTAGGGGACGAAATCGCACGGACTTGTAAATGTAACCTTTCAATATTGATAAAACGTCTGATTTGCCAAAGTGACCTACTTGTTTACACTTTGGTTCATCCGATTTACTTGCGGAAAAAAATCAATTTTCAAGTGCGGAAAGTTCCGCTTGGTAAGGCTCCCGAGTTTAGATTACTCCCTTCACAGAGGAAAAGACGCGCGGATGTGGAAACTTAGTCTACAATAGCTACTCGCATAAGGAACCGCCAAAACCGGAAGTAGCGTAGAGTTCCGCTCAAATTTGCAAACATTTTGACTGATAAAACTATTTACAAACGCATCGGACATAAAAACGAACATTTTCCGTAAGAGGGCCAGGCGAATAAGAAAAATGTGCAGCATTTTAGTTGCCACTACCCTGCCAGCACATGGCCCCTTCATAGGTGAGGCTGGGTGGGGCCGGAGCCCCCTCTGGATTGAAGCATTTTGAAGCGTATTAATACGGTTTATTATGTTTCAAAAGGACCTCTTATTGTACCTTTTTGACACTAAAATGAGCTAATTTATCAAATCAGGGAAAAAAGTATCCGTTTACGCCCACTGAACATGGCCGTGGATGAGCTTAATATATTGAGGTTTTGTTTAAGTAGCTCATTGCGGAAACTCTTATTTGTGAAACAAGCTAAGTGTGTTATTGCTTCGTATATTTGACAATCGGTTGCGGATAATATCGTACGTCAACCAATGCTGTTTTCATGCTCTTGATAACTGCCTTATATATCCTTTGCCAATTTCTGGGTATTTTCTCACCAGCCAGTTCAAGTAGTCGACTTGTATGTCAATGTATGTACTATGTAGAGGCCACCAGGTGAAAGTTTTCGGGTTATAAAAAGGCAATCATCCCAGTGGAGTCTGATTTAAGCTTGCGGGCACAATGAAATTTAGAGCGTCTTGAGCAAGACGACAAAGCGTGGTCGTATACTTAGACTACTACCAACAGAGGAAAACTACGTACAGGGACCAGCCAAAACGAATAAAAACCGAAGGCGTTTGTTCACCGTTGCCC